CGGGATATAAATTAAATTAAATTAAATTAAATTAAATTAAATAAATAAATAAATAAATAAATAAATAAATAAATAAATAAATAAATAAATAAATAAAATTTCTTTGGATTGTATAGTACCAGCTTTATGATGAACCTTTTGTCATTTTATTCATGCTTACAGCAACCTTGCCAGTTGGTTGGTGGCATTCCAGCTTTTGTAAAGGTTTTGCCCCATGCAAAAAGCTGAAATGCCTCTCTTAAGGCCTAATAAGAACTTCAAGGTAAAATGTGCTGATATTTTTAGTTGCATTCTTTTGCAGCTCCTGGTTCTTGGCTTAAGCAGAGCAACAGAGTCAGCACACATGCATACCTGCCTGGTGTGTTTGTTTAATCAATAATGCCCCGTATAAGAAGAGTTACCTGCACTGAAAAAACAAATTCTACGCTGTCCAAAATCTTGTTATATCATGTCTAAATTGCACTACAGTAGGCCCACTAAACCTGTGAGGATTTGGTGAGTCAGCTCCTCCATATGGGCCTGCTCTAACTATGATTAACTTTAGCATAGTAAGACTCAGTTAGAATTGGGCCATTTGAATGAATGGAACCTACGGAGCTGACTCACCAATCCCCATTGATTCAATGGACCTAAATGTAGTGCAATTTACTACATTAAGCAACAGGATTTTGGTCACTGTGTTGATTCTGAATGCATACCATACAGCTGGGTCCCACTTTACTTCTTTTTCTTTCTACAGGTGCATAGAGCTAATATTAGCCCTATGTTCTTGTAAAAAGGGAGAGGGTGATGGACCAACTCAATATTAGAGATCAGTCTTAATGCTGTGATGGCATTGGCCCCAAGTATATTTTTCCATTGGGGTGATTGGACATAATTTGTTATTAAAGGGATGCCCTTAGGGCATGTTTAATGCAAATCCCACTGTTTAATGCAGATCCCACTCAAAATGAAGCCTGCTCCTATGCATATAACCTCACTCTCGTCCTGTTTCTTGGTCATGCTGGACTTCAGGGATGTTGGTGGAATGTGGCAGAATGTCATGAATTGGCTTTATGAAACAATGCTTAGAAAATAAGTATTAGCATGCTTTTGGTGCACATGTGTCATTCTAGTCAAATTATGTTTCCAGATCCCATTGGTCTTGGGCAGCATCGTTGCAAAGCACTTAACTCAAAAGGACAGCATGACTGGCAGAGTTATTCATGTGAATCTGGACTGCCATACATATGCAAAAAATATTTAAATGCTTCTAAACATGAAACATTTGGTGAGTCCCTGCCCAGCAATGTAATTTGATCTATGTGGCTTATGCTGTTTGCTTCAATTTTTAACAAGGGCCTATACTGTTCTGCATCTTGATGCATCTTGGATTTGAGGTTTGCAGGGGTTTGTAAGATATACAGGGGAATACAGGAGAAGGATAGCTATATGTAGAAATCATAGCTCAGACTCAATTTGTTTTTAAATTAGCAGGTTGAGCATCCTTCTGCTATTTTGAAGGCAAACACCATCCACTGAGAGAGAGAGAGAGAGAGAGAGAGAGAGAAGAATATAGAAAATAAAAATTTTCTGCATCACACTATTACAGATTTTGGTCTGTAGACAAAATCCTAAACAATCTTAAAAGAATTTTCTGCAGGGCTTAAATACAGAAGGAAAATGTTCCCACACTCTGCAGTGCTTAAGAATGGTCAGCATGCTCTGCCATGATTTTAATTTTTCCGTAGATATCTGTGACTGAACAGAAAGGAGGGACCTGTCACTACGAGCATGGTGCTCAGGGTACACGTTAGAGCTTTGAAAATGGTATAACGTGTTTGGATGCAACTAATAGGATGAAAAAGATATCTTCAGCTTATTGTTAATGTTAAAAAATTGTGTTGTAGTGGAATATAAATGCGCAGGTTTTTTGTTTTAACATCCAGCTAGCCCACTATAGAAAGCCATTATAAGCACAGGGATTTCCTATTACTGTTTTTAAGAATTGTTCCACATAGTCTCAAAACCATGAATACATTCCTCCTTTCTTCTTTTATGTCTCTAAAATGGTAGGAAGAAAGGAATACTGTAGCATATGTTCCATTATGGGTATTGCTGCCATTCTTGTGTTGTTGTTTTTTAATTTGTGCTACTGTTTAGTGCCTGTGGCAATTATATAATTTATATTTTATATTTTTGTTGTGTACCACCCAGAGTAGTGATTGGCTAGATGGATATATAAATCGAATAAATAAAATAAAATAAATAATTAGAGCTTAGCCTCAAAGCAATGGAATTCAGCCCATATTTGAAATCATGACTAAATGTAAAAGTGCAACCAGCTTTTTTCCCTTTTACCACCCTGGGAGAATTTGTGAGCCTTTATAATAATTTAAATTTAAGCTATCTGAAAATCAGGAGAAACATTTCACAGGGCATAGGCTGAGCAGTCTAACAGTGGTGAACAGGAGGATGGTGGCCTAGGAAGGGTCACTAATCCCAAAGGTTGTGGAGGCAGCTTTTTTTAAAAAACCTTCTGTCCCATATGTGTTTGAAAATTGTTTCCACTTCATTGATTCCCATGGGAATAAAAATATGCCAGTTTCAAGTCTGTTGTAGTCGCCTCACAATACACACGATATAAGGGCATGTCAAAGGGGTGGAACACTGCCCTTGACACAAAATCCTGTCTTGAAGCACCCCTGCTCTGCCTTTGCATTCCTTGGGACATGAGTGACAGACACATTGAGCTGATAGACAACTACATTAGTCTGGGAGATGAAGATCATGTTTGTTTCTCTTAGAATTAAAAAAAAAGATTAAATTCCCTGAGTTAAGGGCGTTTTACTTTGCGTGAATGTACACAAATGTACACCTGTTATCTGACACATTTCGAAATGCATAGTTAACTTTCTGTGGATGAACATATTTTAAAATAAAGTGGAGAGAGCTAATCTGCATATAAATAAATCAACAGAAAGCAAATATGAAGGAAAAGTAAATTATTCAGTTTATTAACATGGCCCTATTATATATTTTAATTGAAAAGATTCATGGAAATTTTATCCTACTAACTGCGGCTATAATTGGTATCCATATAATCGTTACTGCTATAAGCTTTATAAAGAAGAAAAGAACTGGAATGAAGCTTCACTCTCCTGCCAGGATGACAATAGCACGCTCATTAGCTTAACCTCTTTGGCTGATACAGAAATGCTCATTAACCTTCTTGAATACGGTGAGTGCCTAGAATTAGTTCATATTGAATTTTACCTTGAGGCACAGGTGGTTTTCATTTTAAAGTAAGCACATGGAGTTACTTTATGTCAAGTTCAAGAACCTACCTCAAGGTCTAAATTATGGAGAAGTCAGTGTCAGGAGGGTTGTCATTGATGGGCCAGTTACCACCATTGTATTATCCCGGGAGACACCCACCCAGTAGTGTCTGAGCCATTACCTGCCTCCTGCCTCAAGATAAGAAGGTACCCCTCCAACAACACTATACAGAGATGGAAGAAGCCAGTCAGTGTTGACTTTGTGGGAAATAACTATACAGTTTTCCCTCTTTACATGATTCTGGCCTGCAAATATTAGCATACAGGTTTGAGAATAGAGAAAATGGGCTTCTGCACTGCTCTGATAGCATACGAAGCCTCTTCCGTTTCCCCCATCCAAATCCCATGTTCTACAGTGTTTGGTAATACACCCACAGCCAAGAATCGAACACACTGTGATCAGTCAAGATGATTAAGTAATATAATTTCACATATTCCAAGATTAAGAAAAGTAGAGCAGCAGAATCACCACGGCTTCCAAGTCATTAGAGTCTTTAGTGCAGCAGATTTGCCTCAGCAGCTGGATGGTTGATGGAAGACACCTCTGTGCCATCTATCCAGTATTCTCCAGAGCTCTGGCAGTCAAAAAATAAATAGTTGAGCAGGTTAGGAAAAGAATAACAGGTGGAGATCAGGATTGCAGAATAGGACCAAAGGCCTATCTAGTTAATCAGTGGACTATCTGTGGCCGATGGGAGGTCTGCCGGAATGATGTGGGCTCTGAGCAACATATCCCTTCCAGCAAGCAGGGAAACCTGCTTGTCCTGAATGTCCCTTTGTGGGTGTTTGGATAGGGTACCAACTTAAGTGTTTGATTAAGATGCAAAAAGAATGGCTAAGACTGACCAAATTGGGGGGGGGGGAAGGGGGCCTTTTCCTCTTTTTTTAAATGGGGCTCTTAAGAATTATCTAACTTGTCCAAATCATCTTAAAATGAATTTAATTATCTACTGCAGAAAATGTGACAGAAACTTGGATTGGATTGAGTGGTAGTAAGACTCCAGTTGAGTTTAAATGGTCTGATGGCTCTTCGGTAACCTTCACTTATTGGGACAAACAAGAGCCAAATATCCAGCCCAGAAAAAGCCAACTTTGTGTCTCAGCTCAGCAACATGTATGTTTTCTACTTTCTGTTTTCTTTTTGTTGTTGTTTTAAATGTTTTTTGGTCAATTTGTTTGTTTGGTTTAGATTTGGTATGTTAGTTGTACTGTGATGTGTGTGTGCGGTTTCCTGTATCACATTGTGTTAAAAGTGAAAATTTTTTAAAAAGTTAAGTCATTCTATATAATTGATGCTATTCAAGTGGTACAAACTATGTGTACAACCATTTTTAAGAAAACAGTGTTTCTCCTTAGCTGCTTTGCCTATTCAGTGTCAGATAAAATTTATGAGGCTATATTCAAATCCTGACATTTAGTTGTATTATTGGAAACCTTTCTTTTAGTAAATATACAAATGCAGCTTAAGGTCACACAGAGCAAGCATTAATGAGGCAGAGACCACTTACAATAAGTACTGGAAGGTATGAGACTCAGGGGGAAGGTTGAAAGTGGCAACAGCTACTATAATACTGTACCCTAAACCTTTATTCCCTGTTCATATGAATGATAATAGGCTTTTCTGAAATAATGTAATGTTTGGACTAATTCATGTTTGTTTTTAACTAGGAAGGACGCTGGAAGGTTAAAAGTTGTAAAAACAGATATTTTTATATTTGTAGAAGAGCAGGAATTGTTGGAAACATCATTTCTGAAGTAGAATCAGGCTGCCCAGAGGTACATCTTGTATAAACAATTGTGCTTCAGTTACAAACAATTATGCTTTTGTCACTACTTTTCAACTTGAACTCTAGGAACATCTGCTAATTCAAATGGAATTGCTGTTGTCAATGGAAAGGTTATCGGCAATATCTGGTTTGTAGTCTGTGTTCCCTTCCTGGAGAGGTCTGATCTGGCTATTGTGACACATGGCTTAATTACATCCTGGCTTGATTACTGTGGGGCTGCCTATAGAAATCGTCCGGAAACGTCAGCAGGTCCAAAATGCTGACTGGGGCTGGTTACAGGGATCACATATTCCTCCACTTACAGAAGCTCTACTGGCTGCTGAACCATTTCTGGGCTGAATTCCAGGTGTTGGTTCTAACTCAGGGGTCAGGGAACTTTTTAATCTTTTACCCTCCAAAAAATTTTTATATACGCCAACATTACCCCACCCCTCCGCTCTCGCCGTCTGCGGCCAACCCCCCCCGCCTCTGTGCTCGCCTGGGATCTGTGGCCGCCATGCCGCCAGGAAAGCACATCCTTGGTGAAGGGAGGTGGGCACTGCAGGGCCGGCAGGTCCACTGGCCATGAGCTCAGGTGAGGCGGGGCGGGAAGGAGGCCTCCTTGCCAGCGCTCGCTCTCCCTGTGAAGTATGGACGGAAATAAAATGCCTGAGGGTAATGAGGAGGCCAGTGCTCGCTCTCCCTGTGAAGGAATGCCCGCCTACACACAGTATGGACGGAAATAAAATGCCTGAGGGTAATGAGGAGGGTCACGCTGCCGCAACCATCCTTATTACCCCCAGGATTTTAATTTTTACCCTATTTGGGATAATTTACCCCTGTTCTCTGACCACTGTTCTAACTTATAAAGCCCTAAATGGCTTGGGCCTGAGCTATCCAGAAGACCACATCTCCCTCTATGAGCCTGCCTGGGCTTTAAGATCATCAGGGGAGGCCTTTCTCATGTTCCGCCACCCTCACAGGTGTGTTTGGTGGGGACACAGGATAGGGCTTCCTTTGTCGCCGCACCCAGACTCTGGAGCTCCCTCACATAGGAGGCTAGATTGGCCCCATCCTTCTGCAAGCAGGCAATAATCTTTTCAGGCATGCCTTCTCTCAGTGACTGTTTACCTGAGCGGAGTTTTTAAAATGGATTATTGTACCTTATTGTCTTTAATGTGTTTTGGTGTTTGACTCTTAATGGTATCTGTATACTCACTCTTGTTAGTTTTATATTGTCTTTTAATGGTGCACGCTGTCTTGTGTCCTTTTTAAGGAGAAAGATGGAGTAAAATTATTTTAAATAAATAGGCTGGTCAGTATTACTGTATCAGCTGATAGCTTAGGTAGTCTCCAAAGCTCAGTAAAGTCAGTGAATGTGTAATGAACACAGACTAAAAATAAATGTTAAGAAAATCAAATTCATGGTAGTTAGTAAAAAGTAGGGAGTTCAAGAAATGCCGTTAAAGATTCCAAGTAGATGCACAGGTTGTGTTGTCAAATAAAGGTACCTGGGAATTGGCTGAATGAGCAGTGAGATCTTAGCCTTGCCATAAAAGTCAGAACAGAGATGTCCTAGTGCAGCTTCTTTAAGATTAAGAATGTAATATGCAGCAGAACAATGTAAAATTGGCTTTGAGAATGAGCATTGTTCATTGCTAAGTACTCTTGGTTTTCTTGCATGGCATGGGATCACAGACTTCAGCACAGATTAATTTGAAAAAAAGGATAGACCCCTTGAAATGTGGATTTTTTACAGAAAGCTAAGAAAGATGGAGAAGAGACTATGTATGCCTGTTGCAACCTATGATAAGTTGTTGGTTGAGATCGTAAAACTTTCTGTGGAACTCCTATCATGGGTCACTTGCTTTTTCAGGAGGTTTGATTGAAGTTCCTGTATCGTTCTACATCAAAAGACAGAGCTCTTTTGTGGACCATCTGTACAAACAACAACTGTTCCGCAATGCTTCTTCTTACCCACAGCTTTGGTAGTTTTCTAGAGAGAGAAAAATATTGAGGTAGAAAACATCTTTTTCTTTGACAAGCTTAATTTTATCACCCTCTCACTAACATTCCAGTTGCAAATTAAAAAATAAATGCTAGGAATACTTAGCCATTTTTTCTTTGTAATGTTATTACTTTTGTTGACTGACATAACCTCGCTGTTTGAAAAAGAAAATAACAGCAGTTATTAAAAGCCAAGCCCAGACATCTGTGGGTTTTAATAGTGGACATCCTGTTGAAATGTCTGAAAAGTGATGGCCTTAAAATGCTCCATGAGAGACAGCAGGCCCCAAAAGCATTGATGAATAAATTACAGTAGACTGGGACCTGCTGGGTTGGTTGACTAAACCAAATGTTTCTCAATTTTAAAAATATTTTTGTAGATGTTGGCAGAAGCTGCTTGGGGATGTGGGGGCACCTCACTCCAAAATTTAGGGGAAGACACTTCCCTGCCAGGGTCGTGAGCCATTTGCAAATACTGCTTTTTTCCATTGCCAGGTGCCTATTCTAGATTCAAACCTAATGCAAACAGTTACATATATGGTTTTTCTAAGGCAGGGGTCAGGGAACTTTTTTACTTTTTACCCCCCCCCAAAAAAAATTATGTACGCCGACATTACCCCCTTGATTTGAAAGGAAGGAAATCGTACATTATTTGAATTAAAAATATTATTGAATCTACACAGGCTGTGTACTGAACTAGCAGGATGCACCAAATTTGATAAAGATGTGCACTATTTTTGCTGGAACACATTGCACTCCAGCCATGGTGTGGTATAGGGAGTAGTAAGGTGTCCAATGTGCCTAGGAAGTTGCATTAAATTTTTGCTAGCTCACAGAGGATTTAATCAATGGCTACCAGAGTGGTGCTAGCAATGACATGCTTGCTAGAGACAGCCAGCGCAGAATTGGGGAGGGGCTTTCCCTACCACTTTAATCATTCTATGTGTGGTGTGCAAAAAGGAACAAACCAGGCTAAAGGCCATGTCACCCACCCTGGTGCCACAGCCCAATATCAAAGGACCAGTGTGCTTTTTAAAATCATAATCAATGGAAAACTCAGCAGTGGCCAGAGGACTGGAAAAGATCAGTCTACATCCCAATCCCAAAGAAGGGCAGTGCCAAAGAATGCTCCAACTACCATACAATTGCACTCATTTCACACACTAACAAGGTTATGCTCAAAATCCTATAAGG